ATCGATGAAATTCCAACCAATATACAAGTATCTGAGATTGTGGCATCACTCCTGTTAAACTGCTTTGCTATGTTTGTTGAACAAGACGTGGGCTTCAAGTAACTTATTATAGTGCGAAGGGTTGTGTTGCATGAGATAAACGTCCATTTTTCCTAATATCCTGGTCGGTTTTGAAAACTCTGTAAACAAACATACAAGTACTAGGTAAGATGATGATGTAATGGCCGATATAAGCCCATAACTCAACAGATGACAACCACGTCTTTCAGTATCATTTGAACAATATGCAACAATCAATTGATGTACAGAATGCAAACAATTGTACATTCAATATAATTAAATGTAATAATTATCATTGTAATTCTGTCTGCATAAATGACATCACAGCATCAAAGAACACCAATATTGTATGGATTAATCAGTGTTTTAACACGACATATAGGAATTAAAAAAAATTAAACAATTACACTCATGGAATGTCTGCTACAGTCAGAGAGAGTTTAGTTATATGATAGAAGGACTGATAAATCCAAGGGAGATATTAAAATCAATACAGTATGGAGAAAACATCCCTTGAAATAGCTTTACCAAGGTAAACAACGGAACCTCTGTGACAAACACAGTCATCATGACAGCAGTGGAACAATATAAAGCCAGAATACAAGTGGTGTTCACATTTATTTATATAGTACAAGCATAGTAAGCATCACATGTGTCTGTGTTTGTCTATCACTGCATGCGCACCAAATGCACAGTGTGAATCAAGCTTTCAGATATAACACCATGTGTGTGCATGCCTGGAAATCTATTGATGATTTGTGAAGCTTACTTGCTAAAGTATACTCAAGACAAGGCATGTCAGTCTGTATGTATGTATGTATGTAGACTGCAAACTGTGCACAGCTTGTCCACAGGCATACCCATAAGTCAGGTAAGTGTGTTCACAGTTAGGCAAGTGTGTTCACAGTCAAATACTGCTTGTGGTATCGTCCTGCTTAGTTTATGAGGTATCACGAATATACTCCAGAGCAGGCGAGTCTTACAGTACACATAATAATAGAGAAACTTTGTGACGCAAGAAAATACGAGTTAGGAT